TTTAAACAAAATTTACTTTTATTTTACGAAGTATCATTTGTATATATTCGTTTCTTGTCTTGTATTTTGCGATCTGAGTATTAGAAAATACAGTAATACAGAATAAACATTAATAAAAATATAAATGTATAAATTAATACATAAAATTCATGAACTTACCGTATACTTCTCAAGAGATTCCAATTTCTCCAATATGTCTGTTAAAACCAATTTCGCGTCTTTTTGTAAAGCTGATTTACCTTGATTATTAACATTTGAATTTGGTTGTGAACTCGAGATATAATGATCAAGATGCCGCCATATTAAAAGTAATGAGATTTCAACGTCATCTTGATAAAAAAAAATCGGTTAATTATAAAATATTATATATCTATTAATAACATAAAAAATTTTTTTTCAAATCAATTAAAATAAAGTCCCTCCCTTACATGAATGTTGTGTAATACACTTTGAAGTTTTATTAAGTTGTTCTTGTAAATTATCAATTTCTTCATTACGAATCTAAAAAAAAATAATTGTAAGAAATTAGTTCGGAGATATAATAGAGAAGAACAAGAGTAATGACGATTTTAAAAATTACCTCTTCAACATTATCTCCCTTTTCAAGTTTAGAAAATATTCTCCCGGAATTCTGTACGTGATGAAACAAAATATCTGTAGAAGTGCGAGCATAATTTACGCATATTGAGAGCTCCGGTTTTTCTACATTAAATGATAAAAAAATTAGATTTTAGATATTATTTTGAAATTATGTTTTTCTTCAAAGAAAAACTTACTGAGATCACCACGGTAATCATTATCGGGTCTTTTGGCGTAATCAAGAATTGGTGTAAAGATCGGTCTAAAGTCTATCATTATATAAAGGAATAAATCAATAAAAATATTATAAGCTAAAATAAATTTGGACAATTGACTCAACTTACCTTGAACGCCTTTTGTACTCGCAGTCATTATCTGGTACCACCCTAAAAGGTTTCGATTAATATTTTCAATTTGTTCTTGCGCGGCTTAATAATAAAGAAATGTGTCTTAGTTAATAAGATTTACCAATTTTTATGACAAAACTCTTAAGAAAACTTCAAGAAATAAAACAATTATAATTTACATTCTTTATCAGATACTTTTCCTGTTGTCATCGGTACTAAACGCTTCCGCACTGGAAAGAATTGTATCATTAATTCTTTTAGAATTTCTTGGAACGTCCGTTGATGAGATTCTCGACGCTATCAAGACATTCAAAAAGTAAATAATAATATTATTCAATGATAAATTTAGGAATAAAGAAATAATATACTAGATATATACATACAACTTTGTCAATAGCTTCTAACTTAACACCCAAGAAATAAAATATGCGAGACATTTCATGCACAACTCCAATACTCAACATCGCATTTTCTTTGACCTCCATATTTGGAGAAGCTAATAAATCAACTGGGGCAATGTCAGTCAATATTTCTAACATCAAACCTTGATGCCCACTTATAAAACTTGACGCCTAATATTAAAAATTAATTAATATAAAAATTTTAAATTATGAGAATATTCATAGCTTGAAATTAAAAAATTAAAAATAATTTTACTTTTATTAAAGCATGTCCACTATCATGTCCTATGCTCGTGAGAATACAAGCAATGAGGCGTAATATAACGATTAAAAGTTCATGAAATCGTTTAAATTCGGGGTTATCGCCAGAATCTGAAATAAATAATAATAATTAAAAAAAATCATAATAATTAAAATAATAATTATAAACAAACAAAATAAATAAATTTCCATTTTACCTTGCATTGTTTTATTAAATTTTGGTCGTTCATCTAAAAATGCTAATTCGCCTAGATATTCAAAAACTCCAGATTCCATCAATTTAAGAGCGCAATCACGACGTTGTGCTAGGCGAATCAACAATACTGCTCTAGATTCAAATATATATTTTGCTTGCAAAGCAGATTGTTCTAATAAAAAAATTTATAAAGTATTATTTGATATTATAAATATTAAATGACAAGCGGATTATTCTAGTTTCAAAAAAAAAAAAAATTTAGACGCTTACCAGGCCTTGATTTTATTGCCTTTAATAATAGTTCATTTTGACTTTTTAAACTCTTTACCATGGCGCCCAGAAAATGAGAGCGTATAATATAATCAATGATGAAATTACTTTTCTCACGCTTTCCCAAACTACATAAAGCAGTTAGAATATTCAAAGCACAAAGCTTTCCTTCTACAGGCCCTTCAGATGCGTCTAAACGTATAATTTCGAGTATACGATCACCACTACTATGAAGCACTTCAAGATTACCACCATCAAGTGCAGACCTAGCACCACCTCGAGTTGAAACAGTTAAAAATGAAGACATGTGACTTCTTGGAGAAGATCCTGATATATTTTGTGATAATAGTCCTGCTTTAGGCGTTGAATTTCCAGGAGATAGCATTCGTGCAAATTCATTCGATCCAATCATAAAATCTGGATCAGAATCAATATAATGCAAGTAACTAAACATTATACAATATATGCTGTTGCGAACTCCTGGTGGAAATCCTGGCCCAATGAGACAATCAAGGATCAATTTAAATATAGAGTAAAGTCGTTCAAATGGAACCTTCGAAAGGTTTGCCAGATATAAAACCGATTGTTGTCTGCGATCTAAGCGCAATGCGGTGATGATGGCAAGAACAACCTTACTAAGGACTCCCGCAATGATATCGTTCTCGTTCTTCATAACTGTTAATAATCCCGTTAGAATATAATGAAATTTAGATTCCCGAACTTCTACTCTCAATAGATCGAAATGTTTATTAATAACTGTCATTTCAATAACTTCTCTCCAAGCTTTAAAGCATTCATTCCTTGCAAAAACAAATTCGCGATTACGATTGTGGAAAAAACAAAACTTTATGATCTGTTTCATTTCATTTCGTAAACTTTTATCATCAAATATAACTCCTTGTGTTCCTCTCTTGTGGAAATATTCATATATTCGATATAATTCAGAGAAGATATCTTGCAAGCGATATAATTCTATCCCTCTCTCATTACGATATAACCACGTTTCAATATCAAAGTTTCCAAAATATTGTCGTTGAGGAGCTTGCATTCGCCATGGATCATTCCAATGAAATTCCAACATATTTAATATATCAAGGATTTTCATAATTGAAGGACCGTTAAAATCTAAATCCATTGAATTATTATCCTTCGATTTGATAACTTCAGAACCATATATTAAGGACAGCAAATTTTGGATACCGCTACGAGTTTGAGCTTTACGTAATTCTAATGAGACCAATTTCATCAACCAAGTTCGTTCATCAAGATTTGCACAAAGGCTAACCCAATCGATTTCAACTGTATATTTGTCAAGTCTTATTATCATTCCTAGATCCCATTTTGGTTCCAAATCAGGTCGAACAATATGTAAAGGCATTATTCTAAATTGATTTGAAATAAATTTTTGACTTCGTAAAAATAGCAATGTGGCATCCGAAGTGTTGTTATCAACACAAAGTCTGTAGAGTATTTGATAACAACGTGCAGATAGTGAAGGATAATTTATAAGTTGATTATTAATCTTGATATTTTCAGTAAACCTATTAATAGGATGACCAAGGATTTCCATTATTTTATGCAGACAAGACTCTCTATAGTCATCAGCCACATATTTGATAACTGGAACTTGCAATGATCCACGAATATCATAACCTAGAAGAAAATGTGAAATAGTGGGTTGTATTTTACCAGGTCTAAGATTTTCCAATATTAAGTCTAATATAGCACAACTAACTGTGGAAAGTGAAATATTTTCTTCCTTTGACAATGGATCTGCGCTATATTCTTCTTCGTCATGTTTTGACGTACGTTTAAGACATAATTGAATAAGTTCAAAGTTTCTTTGGTCGACACTAAAATCCCAATAATCGTCTCCCCTAAGTTCTAACCGTTTTACGAAATTATTAAGAATCTCATTTGCAAATGGACTAGTCTCCAATATACTCGATAATCTATTAACTCTAACGGTTCCAAGGTTATCTTTGGAATTAAATATTGTGGACTTAGCAAGACAAGCTAATATTTTAACCGCGTAAAAACAGACATCAGCATTTTCACTATCAAGTAATAATGCAATTGATATAATAATATCTTTTTTTGAAAGAAAAGCGTGTTCAAGATATCCTGGATTACTGCCATTAACAAGTGGAACCAAGGTTTTCAAAAACCTATCTTGCTTTTCCAGCGCAACCCATAGAATTTTTAAACAACGTATAAGAGGCTCAATGATGTCAGAAGAAGCTTCGTACTTATCAATCAATATATTCTTTCCGGAAGTTATAATTTCTAAAATTACTTCCATGAGTCGAGAATTAGTTATCAGCCTTTTCATGATGTTATATCCAGGGTGATTTTTTAAATATTCTACGTCTTCGTCATTGAATGTATTATCTTCCTCTTTTTTCATTCTAAAATAATGATGCTTTTCAAATAATTGCCCTGTTAAATCAAAAGAAATCAAACATTTTTCAATTATTTCCAAGGAACTTGCTATTATTTCCCATTTTTGAGAGTTAAATATATATTCTCTCGTTGGTGCTTTTATGAAAATATCGTCAATTATAAAACTGACATAAGGGGTGATTCCAGGAATTCGATAACCCAACCCTAATTGGTTAGGTATGGTAAGTGAACGAACCGGAAATCCACATCGTAAAGCAATGAGTTGTTCAGGAACATAGATCAAAGTGCTAATAAGCTTAATAAATGCCAGCGTTTGAAAGAAAATTTTTTTAGAAGATTCTATCTCCTCTATTTCTTTCCTAATAGCTGACATATCATGCGTTTGAAAATTCGACTGTTCCATCACCGTAGTTGTTCCTATTTTAATATTTTTTGGTACAGTTGGAACAATTTGTTCTTCCTCAATTATTGTCCAGACTTTTGAAGTATATTCAAGAAATAAACTATCATCTGGAACACAGAAGGCAGCAATAGCATAATAAAGTTCGGCCTTTAATTCAGTTGGTATATGCTGCGACACCAAATTGAAAAGAAGCTTCAAAATACTACGCTTAATGAACTCGTGTCGTGCTTGAGCACAGTGTTTAACGACTTGCCGGAAAACGCGTAAGAAAGAGATTAAAAGTTGCACTTCTTCTTTAGGAATTTCCACTTTTTCATCAATCATACTGTTATTATAGCTTTCCATAGCTTTAAATAAAGTTTGCCAAGAACACCATCCTCCGCTTTCTGAAGCGCGTGAAAGAAATTCATAAGCATGTATACTACATTCTTTACCAGTAGCAAGTGCACTTAACATTTCCAAATAAGCACACATCATTCCCGTTTCTTGAAAACTTGCTCCCCAATTAATCAATGATTTC